TGACCTGTAACTTGTTTAAAATAATACATGAACGGAGCAAGGTGCATAAATCGACTTAACAAGTAATTCTATGTACATATATACTAAAAAGGGAACCATATGAGTTTAGAGGCTCATCTCGGATAACATTTTTACCACACGTAGGTCTCGTCTCCCTGATCACGAAAAGTTATGATTTTCATGGGAGAAGTCCGTACTTCTCGAGATATGGACCTCTGAAATTGCGGAATTCATAAAATTTGAGGTAAATTTCAGATATTTTCCAAGAAATTATGGAAGAGGAGCAGCGTCAATTATTGTATTGGACGAAGAAAATAAAGTTTAAAAAATAAGAAAAGACCGTGGGTTTGTGAGTGCGTGATTGTGTATGGTGTGAGCTTGATTGAGTTCCAGAGATAAAAAAATTCCCAGAATACCAGTACCTGAAGAGTTGTGGTCGCATAATACAAGAGTATTTCGATTTAAGGGGACCCCCCATTCTCGGGGTCAAAATTTGTTTTGATTTAATTCGACTCTACACTAATTCAAGAATTTCTCTACAAAATTTCAAGTGAAAATCTCAAGAACTCTTGAAGATATAGCCGATTTATTGTGTCAGCATCAAGTGACGGCTAAAGGGCTTCTCAAACTTTAAACGCGTTTTTCTCTTTGCGAATGGAGGGCACGATACCTCAAAAACTAATAACCCAATCGATTCCAAATTTTTACACGTTTCTCTGTGAGTGTATAGCTATCGTATGAAAGCCAATCGGTGAAGATCTTCCTTATTTTTTAACTTGGTTTTTGGTCAAAAATCGGCGATTTTCCAAAAATATTTTTTCAAAGGTCAGCCATTTTGTTAATTTTAGAGCGAACTCAATAATCCTAGTTCATACGAGAGCCAGACATGTACTCTTTCTAACACCGTTGGAATTTTCGGATTCCGATGTTCCAGTGAGGAGTTATCATGCCCGCCATCAAAACTAAGGACTTTTCTTTAATTACAAAAAACTACAACAAAGCAATAGCAAACATTTTTTGTAAATTATTTTTCTTCTCTTTTAAATCTTCAAATATAAATGTGAAAAGTTACAAACCTTAACAAGCATTGGTATTGATTTACCAGCCCATTGAAAAACTTGAAAAATTAAAATCTAGAATGGGTGGGGTTCCCTTAAGGCGATTGTTGGTGACGATACTTATATACAACGTGAAACGGGTCATGTGTCATTTGTGTTCATTGGTACCGTTGAATGTATTGTTAATGTCAAAGTATTACTGGACTATCATTTGGCCTACTTAAAGGTGTGTCGCATGCATACATTTTGAAATCTCAAGTTAATATAATAAAAATCTTAAATCACTTTTTGTTTACTAGGAAGTTGGAGAAATACGCCTAGCCAAATTAAAAATTTCTCTTGAACTCGTCGCTCGGAAAGTGGTTATAGTAGTGACATTGATTCAGTTTGTTACAGTCGGGGAGTTCCACGTGGACGTGGACGAAGCTGCAGTGGTGGTGATAATGGTAGTGGCAATCAAACGTTACAATACAGGTCGTGGTGGTGGTGCAACAGCAGCAATCAACAACTAAAAGCAAGACTTTATAAAAATTTCCAACAACCACAATTTTCAAATATGTTAATGAGGATCTTTTTCATGAGAAAACATAATATAATCAGAAATGGAGAAGAATTTCATAAAAAATATAAACAATACAAAAATAAGAATAAAATAAAACAGATTATATAATACAAATGCAAAATATAAAAAACATATTATTATAAAACAAGAAAGAAAACAACAACAAACTATATAATAAATAAGAGCGGCCAAACGCTGACAACAATGTATGTATGCATCAGCTGTTATTTTCCTTTGTTTGCTCTTACAAAAATATTGTAAGGGCAAATAAATGTTTGACCAAAAATAAGGCAAATGTTTGCTAGTCGGCGTTAACATTGCGGGAAAATCATGCAAAATTTTATTTGCTGTCAAATAATTTTGTTTGCCCAAAATCGGCTGTTTTGTGTTTTTGGTCAGATTATGACAAAAAAATATTTGACACTTTTCGTCAAATATTTGCCTAGTGTGACCTTACCTTTACAACGAAGACTAAGCAACTCAACTGTGGCTGCTTAGCAAGATGAAATGTTGCTCATTGAAATTCTATATATAATATATGAGAGAATTAAAAATTGTGATTATGATAATTACATTTTTTCGAACAAAGACAATTAACAACACAAACATAAAAACAACCCTCGGCTAATTATTCGTCGGCAACGAAATATGAATATGTGTCGTACTGCCGATTAATCATAACAAAAAAAGAAAAGCTCGCATGTGAAGTATGCTAGCTGTTTGCTGATTTAGTCATAATTTCAATATTTTTAGCAGTAGTTGTGTAAAGCTAATGCTATTATTTTTTGATGCTGCATTTTAAATCCTGTATTCAATTTAGATTTAGTTTTGCACATATTTACTAGTTTTCCGTTCAAACACTGAATGATTCTACCACCATATTAAAATTGTTTTGAAGGCAAATAAAATTGTCAAACAGAAGTTTTAATTCACGAATATAATTAGTACATTACTTTTAAATTTATTTTAACATTTTAATAAACATTAACTTGAATTATATTATACGTCATATGGTTAATACATAGTTTGGACAATTGTGTCTTTTAAACAGCTGCCTAACTTTCATACATCCATCGGAGCCACATGAAAACAGGCGATCATATCCATCCATATGTATTTGGCTCACACCCTGTCCAATATCCACATGGAAATTTGTTATTGTAAGTTATACTAGTGTCAACGTCATTTAACATAAAAAATGTAAACAAACAAATTACATTTATTTTGAAAATGTAATATTTTTGAATCCTCAAAATAAAATTGAAAAACATGAATGAAAATCTATGATGTTTTAATTTCTATCGCTTCCACACCTTTCCTCTAATTGAGTCATTAGCAGTTTATATGCTACGCATATGAAAATGCTGGAAACTGAGAATTATTCTATGAAGAAATATTTACTGCTTCAAACTTTCCCAGCAGGCAGATTGAGTAAATTGAATACAGAAGGACATTTAATAAAGAACAATTTCGAATTTTTACGTAGAAAATTTTCCTATTCATACAGTCGACTCCGCTTAAGCGACTTACAGGCTTTTTAATAATACGCATAAAAAGGCAGTTAACAATATAAATCGCGTAAACAGTATAACCTACGAATTCGATCATTAAAATTCCAAAAACTGAAAAGTGTTTCGCTTATGATAAGTTTGGATAACTGAAATTATTTTCAGTTAACCGAACTCCCCTTAAGTGAAAACATCGGATAACTGAAACACACATCCATATATTTTTCCGTTTCAGTAAAGCGGAGTCGACTGTATTGACACTAGTACAGTACTTTTCGTTTATAATCCATTACGCTTAAGGGCCAAAAACTGGCGTAAGCCAAAAACAGTACTATTTACTGACAATTTTTTTCCAAATTCATACAAATTATTTGTTCTTTAGTCCACTTCGCCTATAGTCCATTTTCGTTTAAAGGCCACATTTTCTGTGCATGCAAAACTAACATTGCATAGGGAAAAATTATTTAATCCACTCTGTTTTTTATATATTTTTAACTGACATGGCATTTAATTTCCTGCAATATTTGCAAATGCAAAAATCAAATGAAATGTGGACAATTGAACTCTAAATACCAAGTAAACAAATCAACAGTTTGTAACATAATAAAAAAATTAGTTCTAAAATTAAAAAAAAAATCAAATTCGTGTAATCTAAAATATATGGTTTAATGGCTAGAATTCGATGGTGGCTGGCCGTTTTCCTCAGAATATCAGCATTGTGATGACGAACTGATTTGTTATGGAATGTTAAAAATTGCAGATATTTTGAACGATGTGGTTTCGGACAAATATGTTGAAGAATGTCATATTAATATTCATGATGAGGAATCCACTGTTGAAGTTTTTCATTGCAAATAATCCAAAGTTATTTTAAAATAAGTTGTAGATTACTTTGAAATAAGAAGAACATTTTGTACAGATAACGAAATTGAGCAAAACTCATTTTTTGAAAAAAAAGAATCGTTTGTTGTAAATTCCATAAAAAGAAGCGTAAGATTACAGAATTATTTTAAAAATTGTGAACAGTTCACATTTGATTTAATCCGCCAAAAGCATATTATTTTTTTATTACAATAAGCTTTCAAAGCATTTGAAATAAATCAAATAATACGTTATTGTTTAAAAAATTGATTTAATTCAAATGTATATATGAATTTGTTTTTAATAAACTTTAGTAGTCCTAATTCGCTTATAGTCCACAAAAATTGTGCAACTTTAGTTGTGGACTATAAGCGAAAACTACTGTATAACGTTTAAATCAAATCAGCTTGGTTTTGCTGTTACGTTTTAATTGTACCATGCATACATAGAGTCAAAAAAAAGGGGTTCCCTTCCAAACTATACTGAATTTTAGAAATTCATTTATAATCCATTCTGAATAAATATTAATATAAATTTGACAAATAATTTGTTATGAATTCTCCATGTACTGTCACTGTCAAAATGTAAAACCAGTTGAATGTATTGGGTTTCGGTTACATATGCACTCTTACTCTATATGTAAATAAATATATACAATACATACCACGTAGTTTATATGAATTCTAATAGATTTTTTTTACAAAGCTAAGCATATTTTAAAAAATATTGGACCACTGGGCTCGTTTTATCTGCAAAAGAAAATGTCAACCAGAATGTCAGCATCTGTTTGACTTTTTTGTTTATTTTGATCAATTTGGATTTAGTTTGGCACATATTTACCAGTTTGCATACACTGAATGATTCTACCACCATAATAATATTCTTTTGAAGGGTTGGTAACAAAATTGCCAAACAGAAGTTTTCATTCACGAATATAATTAATACTTTACTTTAATATTTATTTTAACATTTTAACAAACATGAACTTTAATTATATTATACGTCATATGGTTAATACATAGTTTGGACAATTGTATCTTTTTCAAACAGCTGCCTAACTTTCATACATCCATCGGACCCACATGAAAACAGGCGACCATATCCATCAATATGTATTTGGCTCACACCCTGTCCAATATGTTTGAAGAAACTATTTTTAGCATGTTCGCCGGAAAATGTCTTAATCAGGGAATATTGATTGAGGCTCCATATCTGAAATACAAATAAAAGTTTATATTATATCTTTAAAAACAAAATTGTAAATTAAGTTGTGACTGAATTATTTTGTTATGAACACATTTTTTGAATGCAGTGAAGTTCGATATTTTCCCCTACATACATAGAGTCCAAAAAACAACGGGTTCTCTTCCAAACTATACTTTTAGCAATTCATTATATAATCCATTAGGAATATACAGTATTGTTCGAAACCTAAGCAACTTTTTCTTAGTACGTAGTCATGGTCTTATATGATATCGTTAAATTGATTTATAATAAATATATATTTTATTTACTATTCTACTATGTGTCTATAATCTGAAAATAACACCAAATTTAAATTATATTTCTTTGGAAAAAAATAAAGAAATGAAAACAAAATTAACTCACAAAGCAGCTGTTCGAAACCTAACCAACTTTCAATATTTCGTATGATACCCGTTATTTTTTATCACTGCCGCACATCTTTTTGGCATTGATTCTATAAGATTTGTTAGAATTGTTGTTGGTATAGCTTCCCACACTGATTTTAAGCAGTTTATTAGTTCCTGTTTGTTTTTAAGGCGACGTGTTCCAATCCTTCGTTTTAAAATGCTGAAAAGGTTCTAAATGGGATTGAGGTCTGGTGACAAGTTTTGAAAGGAAGTATTATACTCATTTACCAGCTCATATTGGGTATTACAGCTTAGCCAGCTTTTAAAAAGACTTAAAATCGGCCGATATTTTAGGTTCTTAAAATCAAACGTTGTATTTAAGATAGGTCTTACGATTGCAACAGGCAGACGATGGATTTCGTTACAAGTTCATAAGTTTTACATTTCATAATAAAATTCCCATAAGCAGTGAACATGTTAACTAGTTTTAATTTCTATCGTCTATTTTCTTAAAAAATCGAAACTTACAAATTCGCTATGATATAGATTATTGAAATTCGTAAAAGTAAAAAATGTTTCGCTTATGATGAGTTCGGATAACTGAAATTATTTTCTGTTCAAAAATCCAAATTTTTTTCGTTTTAGTAAAGCGGAGACGACTTTATAGTGTCGACTGTGTAATGCAATAGTTAATAAAATAACTACTTTTCATAATTCAATTTAACAAGATAATAAAAGACCATGATTACTTACTAAGAAAAAGTTGTTTAGGTTTCGAACAATACTGTATAACGTATTTAAAACAAAATCTCAATATAAAATGTTAATTGTATATTTCAATAGGCCTATTCAGCAACTTTAACCAACATTCGATATTGTTTAATTTTCTTTTGTTGTTGTAAAAACAACAAAACAAATAAAATTGTTGTAAAATAAACATTGTCGAATTTTGTTAAAAAGTTACAGAATAGGCCTACATGATCAGAACATATTTGATGGAATGAAATATCTAAAGCAGATCGTTTATAATAACCAGGCATTGATCAGAACTTACGTAAAGTAACATTACAGTACTGAATATACACAATTTAATATTTATTACCGAGTATTGTTATTATAGAAAAATTATGCATTTGTTGTTGAAATATGTGCGCGAATTTTCTACGATTTTTTTCTCGCAATATTAAACATAGAGCTTTGAAATTTTGCATTTATATAACGCACTCCGGGAAATTGGTGCGTGGTTGTCAACTCTGAGTGTCTGATTGTCTGTAATTTGGAACATTATTTTATCAGAGCATGACCAATAAAATATTCCCAATATAAAAGTCTCGACCGATTTAAAAATTGTTGAATGCACACCATGTGAATGGAGTACCAGAAGTTCGGCCCGGGATCGCCCATACCTTTACATGAAGATCTTTTACTACTACAGAGAATAGCTTATTTTAACAAGAAAATCGGTTGCTTTGTGGCTTTCTATAACTCTTTGGTGACGTTTTTCACGTAAAATTCTCCTCATATGGGGGACCGTATAAACAACGATACCAATAAGGCAAATGGTTCATCTTCGAATGAGACCTTCAGAATAGAAAATTTTGCAAACTTCTACATATGATAAGAATATTAATCCAGGAAACCAGAACTGAAGTCTGGAGTTTTAGTATTGAATATTGGTAGCATTCAGTTTCTTTAATTTGGCTTTTTGGGTTCTTATTGCAAAACTCTCTTTATTTGCTTCCATATAATGAATGATACGTCCTGATTTCAATTATTTGGTTGTAATTTCGCACCTACATTTTCACCTATGTTGTGATTGGTATGCTGAGGTGTTACTACCACAGAAAACATATTCAAATTGGTTACACGTCTTCGTATCTCCAAAAATGTATTCCTTGTCGTCAATTCCTTAATCATTTTTATCTTTGATGCTATTTTTAATTCATAAATTTATTTCACAAATTAAAAAAAATGTATGTATTTTATAAAACTTCCAAAATGCTTTGTTCCAATAGAACGTTTACATTTAACCGGATTTCGTTAACCCAGTGGGTTTCAATTGTCAATTCCTTTGCATATATGTCATATAAATCCTCATAAAGTAGATTAAACCGGTAAAAAGTTCTAATGTACATGCCGTTTAATTGTTGGAAAAATATAAGGCGAATTCATTTTTATTCGCCTTGATCAAGGTTTATTCATAAGGTTAACAAGGAGGCGAATTCAAAGTCTTCATGGAAAGTCAAATTAATTGTTTGAAAAATATATAAACAAAAAATATTTTTATATAAATAAAATATTCGTGCACAATCACATCAATACGCTTTTTTGAAAGATATTTGGAATTTATATCCTGTTCTGCTTTGTATTTCGCGATTAAAAAGTTCACGGCAAGAGAAGACTAAGGCATGAATTCGCCGGCCGGTTAACCTTATGAATAAACCTTAGCCTTGATAACAATTTTGACAATTTCGCCGATGCGGCTATCTTATTCAGCTGCGGTCAAAATAATAGCAGCGTAATGCATTAAAATATTCCTACTGAAGAAAACCATATTCTTCTTTTGAAATCTCGTAATGTTTTCTTTTCAAATTGTAGTTACAACGTTATCAATTGCTATCTATTTTGTAATTATAACAAACATATTAGGTTTTTGTATGAAATATAAGCATTGTTAACGAAATAAAATACATTATTTTCGTGGATTTTAATAATTAGGTGCGAAACACTGCTTCACATCGGTGTTGCATTAAATCGACTAAGTTATTGCATCTTTCGCGTCGACATTTTAGTCAAGCTTCTAAAATGTCGCTACAAAATTATATTATTATTCTTCGGTTTATCTATGACGGCTTTTTGAAATTGCACCACAATTTTTAAATGGATTCAGATCCGGTGACTGCGCGGGCCATCCATAATATCAATATTGCTGTCCTGAAACAACTGCTTTGTTAATTGACTGGTTTGCGTTCGATCATTGTCCTCTTGAAATTTATATTTTATATGCATTTCATATTCACATTAAAAAACATAATATGATGCAGCATTGAGCGGCATCCATTGTATTTAAAATCCAATATCTAGGTCCAACTTCGCAGTACGAGAAAAACGCTTAAATCGTCGATAGTTTTAGGGATCAGATTTTTTGTTCTGGGGACATCTTATATATTGTACGGATCCAGTTTCACCATAAAACATTATTTTGGAATTGTTCGATTACATCATGTTCCTCCGTTTTCCAAATATTGATTGTAAGGCGCGCTGCTATTATTTTGATCGCAACTGTTTATCTACCCAGGTCTATATGAGGGTCGTACCAAGGTTTGGTTTATTCATAAGGTTAACAGGGAGGCGAATTCGAAGTCTTCATTGAATGTCGAATTTATTGTTTGAGGGTCGTACCTAAATTCATGCGTAGGTGTAGGATTTTATTCACCTCAAAAGTTAAATACATGTATTTCAATGATTGCTTCCCATTGCGTATAAAAATATAAAGTTGAATTCTATTTTTTAAAATTAGAATTCCAGTCATTGAAAAATATATTTTTTCTATAGCTGTCAACATTTTTCGGTTAACTAAGAAAATATTTTCATCCATTTTCGCCGTTTTCAATTGACACGTATTACCCAAATACGCAAGGACCTTATTTACTTGGTCCTTGCGTATTTGGGTAATACGGACGTTCAACAAACCCTATAAAGCTGAGAAGGTTGGTATTTTAGTACGCAACGCACAGTGGGAAAAATACCGATCTAGCGCGCAGAAAATAAAAAAATGAAGTTGAAAGAAACTTTAAAACGTTAATGCAGTTTTAAAGTAGAGTGTTGAGAGTACTTGAGTCCGCATAAAATAATCCGAATTAATAAGCTGGAACGGAATAACGGTACATTTAAAATAGAATTTTTTTCCAATGTTAAAAATTGTATTTTTTAGCTATAAAATTGCGATGGTCGTGTGCATTCTGTAAATATGTTATTATAAAATTTTGTCCATTTTTGATATATAGTATTGGTATTTAATTAAATGGTATAGTTATATAACCCATAAGTTATTTTAATTTAGGTGTTTCGGGCTAAATATATGTAAGGTCCGTTTTTTTAATTCCTTCAATTAAAATAGGGGTTTAGTATGGAGTGCAGTCGAGTTCAGCGTTGATTTTTGTTTTATTTTTCTTGCGTGTCTGTCTAGAACATCATACAAAATTTTTTCCTGCGACTCTCCGATTTATGGCAATTTTTTGAAAAAATGCCAATTTGGTGTAGGGAGCCTTTTTTAAGGTTTTGTTTAAATAAAATTAAAAATTTGTGAATTTTGTTGATATAATTGATCAAATATGACTTGGAATAGTTCACAGCATAGCAGATAAGAAAAAAACAAGTTCAAAATGTCCGTTCTAAGGTTCCAGAGTAATGGGTCTGAGTATGAATATGAGGGTATTTAAGTAAGCTGCTCCAAACACTGATACTAAACTCATGCACTGAATATACATTGATTCCAAATGTCTTTCTAAATAAAAATTGAAATTACAACGATACTGATTGTAAGAGTCTTCTCAAATACCGCAGGTAAAGGGTCTACTTTATGAACCCTGAAAAATATCATTGGTGTAACATTCATAT